GGCTGAGTGGCTCAGTTGGTTAAGAGCTCGCTCAAGAGTTTGAGCTCTGAGCAACAGCGGTTCGAGTCAGCCCGAGCTGAGCAGGATGGCTCAAAAAAAAAAAAAAAAAAAAAAAAATCTATAGAAATAAACCCAGAAATGACACAAATGATAGAATTAAATATATTTGTTTAAATATTTGTTAAAAAATAATAGGTTTATTATTATTTTAAATGAAGTGAAAAACAAATACTTTAAAACGATTTAGTTTTAATTTCTACTGTGGTATATACTGATACATATTACTCACATAAACAAACACTTTTGGGGGTCCTCAGTTATTTTAAGAGTAAAAGATCTTGAAACCAAAGTATCTGAGAATTGCTGCCTCCAGAAATTACTTCCATCTAATTCTTGATATTATATCAACTTTTTATTAAGTCGGACTTTTAATATTTTTATTCTGAAATCGTGACAGAACTTTAAGAATTTTCATATTTTTATGTACAAGGAAAAGAATTGTAGACTGTTGATACTTAAAAGGAAGTTACCTACCATTAAGTTCAGAGATTTTTTTTTTAAACTGAGAGATAGTTCATGGATTTCACATATGCTTTGTTTAAATATTTCTCTTTGTTCAAATAAAATTTTATCTTTTGAGGAAATATAATTAAAAATAATACTCCAGGTTATTTTACACATCAAAAAGCAATTAGAACTTCTGATTGTACTATTAGGTTAATTCCTTTTTGCAGTCTTTCCTTTGCCCTGCGTGTATTTCAATTTCTTGGTAATATATCAGCTATTAGGAAGGTGACTCTTTTGTCTGGTTTTGTTTTTTTGTCTTTGTTTTTTTTTCCACCTAGTTATTGTAAACATATTTACATACTCACAGAAGTATAGAGAGTACTAAAAGGTATCCCCATATTATTTATCTCTGACCCTTACCAATTATCTCTACAAGGCCGGTCTTGTTTCTCATGTACTTTTCATTTCTAGTAAACCTCTCCTCCCCATCTACCCACCTTGTGGGATTATTTAAAAGCGAATTCCAGACTTCATATGATTTCATATCTAAATATTTCAGTATGGATCTCTAAGAGATGAAGTTGGTCTGTCTCTCTCCTCTTCCTCTCCTTCTTTCTCTCATAATCAGAACATCTTTATACATCTAAATTTTTTTCAATAATTGTTTAATATCGTCTAATCCCATAGTTTTCAAATTTCTTCAATTTCCCCATACTCATTGTTACACTTAGTATGTTCAAATGAGTATCCAGATGATACCTGACTCACTCTTAAGAGAGTCATCGTTGTTTGTTATGTTTTTCAATCTTTCTTTAAGTTTTTCTGCTCTCTCGTTTTCTCCTTGCCATTGAAGAAATGTATCTATTTGGAGAATATACTTACTATGGGCAACTATGTATGCTATGTGATAGTCAACTGAACAGTTCCAAGTGATAATATAGTGTGGTTTGAGTTTACTGATTTTTATGTTTATCACATGAAATAGGAAGTTGTTAGATACTGTTCTCATTTTAAACACACTTTTCCCCTTACATCTTTCTAGATCAGTTTGATTGAACAGCATGTTGACATTGGAAAGCCGGCTTAAAAAAATCAACAGACTATTATTGTTTACAAGTGTTTATCTCTGTATATAGACATTTTCTCAATATTATGGGCCAAAATAACATCAATAACTGTATTGAATTGATCTATGTGAATAAGTATTCTACTAGGCTTATTTACATAGATCCAATTCACAAATAATTTATAGAACCAATGTAAGTGCTATTGGGTTTGTTGGAAAAGTCATGACGCATTTTGTCTATGTTTTTAAAAGGTCATTTATTTATATAGAGAACAAAGATCAATCAATGATATATTGCCCATTTTGTTCGATAATCTTTTGCCATCTTTCAGTGAGCTTCATAATTTCTCGTTCATAGAAGGACCTGTCTTTATTTGCAAAAAACTGAACAAGGTGCTGATTTACAGCTTCTTCTGAATTGAATGTTATACCATGCAAGGAGTTTTGAAGAGAGCAAAACTAGTGGAAATCTGACTGCCCAAAGTCAGGCGAGTGTGGTGGGTGTGGCAACACATCCCATCCAAGATCCAATAATTTTGACAGGTGATCAAACTTGTGTGTGGTCTCGTGTTGTCGCGATGGAACATGACTCCTTTACAATTAACAAGCTCTGGACGTTTCTGGATGATGGATTCGTTCAAACTGTCCAATTGCTGACAGTACACATTCAAATTGATTGTTTGGCTCCTTGGTAGGAGCTCGAAAAACACGACACCTTTGAAATCCTACCACACTGAGAGCATAACCTTCCTCTGATGAATGTCTGCTTTCGATGTCGTTTGAGGCCAATCATCATGTTGGGACCAAGACCATTTGCACACCACATTGTTGTAAACAATCCACTTCTCATCACCAGTTATCAGTCACTTCAAAAAAGGGTGGTTTTCTTCACATTTAATGAGCATATTGCAGATGTTTATGCGCACTGGCAAATTAACTTCTTTGAGTTCATGCGGAACCCAAATATCGAGCTTGCTTATGTATCCCAGCTTCTTCAGGTGGTTGTGAATGCTTGAATGATGGATGTTCAATGTTTCTGCAATCTTTCGTGTCATGTAACGTGGGTTTGACTTGATCAATGCCTTTATTTTGTCATCATCAACCTCGGTGGGCTTCCCTGACCGAGGAGCATCATTGAGCTCAAACTCACCAGCATGGAATTTCGTGAACCAACGTTGGCACTGACGACCTTGTACAGCATTGTCTCCGTAAACTTTATGCAACTTTTCACAAGCTTGACGCGTGTTCTTCCCTTTGTGGAAGTAAAACAGTAAAATATGGCAAAAATGCAGTTTGGTCTTCCATCTTCAACTTGTTGTAAAATCTCCAAAATCAACCAAATCGCTCAATTTTTTTTTTTAGAATGAAGCTAGAACTGTCAGCTGTTCAAATGACATAGCAATACCATAGATGTGAATGACTCTAGTACTTCCAAAAATGAACTAGTGCCATCTGTCGCAAACATGTGTCATGACTTTTCTGACAACCCAATATTATAATGTGGTTAGCCTCTTACAAATTCAGCTTTAAAAATAATTGTTTAAGGTGACTATGCTGAGTTTTTAGCCATATGCGCAAGATAATGATTTCTACTTTGTTCTACTTTTGTTCTATAGATTTCTTTTTTTTTTTTTAAAGATTTTATTGGGGAATTGGGGGAAGGAACAGCATTGGGGAATTGGGGAAGGGGAACAGACAAGATGCTGTCCTTTTGTTCTTCAATGTAGTTCTGGAGGACGTCGCTTCACTAGCATGTGTTGGTCTTGTGATCATTGTGCTCTTCCCGGGTGAGGCAGATCAGCTGCTGGCCATTGGACAGCCACTCACAGCGGCTCACGGACTGCTGGCCGCTCACGCTGGCTACCAGCCACTCACGGTAGCTCATGGCAGCCCACTTCAGCCTCGCTGCAGCCTACGCTGTCACTGGCGACTCACTGCAGCCCAGCTCCAAGTCGAGATGTTTTTTGCCATCTTAGCTGTAGAGGGCGTAGCGTCACTGGCCCATGTGGGATCCGAACTGGTGGCTCTGCTGCTCAGAGCTCGTGCTCCCAAGCCAACTCTTAACCAATGAGCCACTCAGCCTGCCCAAGTTCAATAGATTTCTTAAAGTTCCCATTGGTGTTACTTATTTTGGTAATTTTAGATTCATGTGCTTTTTGTTTAGTGGTAGTTAAACTATCTTGAAAGGTTTCCTCAAAATTGTTCATTGAAAAAGCTGAATTGTTTGTAAGATTCCTACTTATATGCTAAAGAAACTGAGTTGATCATATGAAATAGCAATCGTAACTATTCTGAGTACATGGTAGATAAGTTGGGACAAAACTGGTGATTAGAGAAATTAAAATATTTTTCTTTTTATTATTTCCAAAGAAATAATACTTATAATAACAAAGTAAAATAATATAGAAGGTGCTGTCTGTTCCTACTTTTTAGAAGTAACAACTATAAGATGGGATGTGGGGTTACAGGAGGGAAATGGGTGTTATAATGGACTATAAGTGGCTTTTCTCCAATTAAATTTTTTTTTTTAAACCAGGTTTCTGCTTTGGGTTTGGATCCCTCAGGTGCCCGTTTGGTGACGGGAGGATATGACTATGATGTTAAGTTTTGGGATTTTGCTGGAATGGATGCTTCTTTTAAGGCATTTCGATCCCTTCAACCCTGCGAATGGTATGTATCACTCACTTAATATCTTCATATCTGAAGACAGAGTGCTGTTGTCATTTGAGTTCTGTCTATAATGGTTTTTACCCAGATACAATAAGTTTATATGACTGTATACTACCTTCATTATTTAAATGAAAGTAAAATGTACTTTAAATTTCTCTCCTTTAGTTTCATTAACCTATATTTTAAGACATTTTCTGTTTTTTTTTTGTTTCTTTAAATTTATTTTTATTTAGAAATTGTTACCTTGCTTAGTTTATTTTAAAAACACTCCAATAAATACTGCATAATATTATGCATGTGTATATGACCTATGTTAAGCCAGTACCCAGGTGCTAGCCTGTGCTGCGTTGTACAGGTGTGGTCAGCTAGCATCATATCAGACAGGGCTTTATATGTTGCTACTGAAGCCACCTTTTATTTCTGTTTTTGGCCACATTTGATCTTTTAGCCTATTGGATATCAAAAATGGATTTTTATTGGTCAAATTAGTATCTTGTTAACTTGCATAATGTCTGTTGGAAATGGACTCTTGTTGATGACATTTAAAGACAGTCAAGACAGGTGAGCTAGCTGACGTTGCTTAGTCTTAGTTTCCTGCTCTTGCATGAATGGGACATAAGAATCTAGGTTCACCTTCAACCTGAGCTCTTGGGGATGATGTATTTTGCTAAAGTTAATATCCATCTGTAACCTCTGGATTCTGTCCGCTATGTGGAGAAAGTTTCTGTCTCGGGATTGTTGGTTGTTTGCTTCCAGGGAACCTGTTTGTGGTTGGAGCATCTGAAAGGCTAGAGAGCTGAGATTTTTCTTAAGCCTGCAGAACAGATCTATGAATTGTTATTTATTTATTTATTCATTCATTCATGTTTTTAAAAGGTTTTTATTGGGGAATTGAGGAGGGGAACAGTGTTGGGGAACTGGGGAAGGGGAGCATTGTGTTTTTCCAGGACCCATCAGCACTAAGCCAAGTTGTCATCCCTCAATCTTAGCTGTGGAGGGCACAAGCTCAGCTCCAAGTCCAGTCGCTGCCCTCAACCTTAGTTGCTGGTGAGGGTAGTCCACCATCCCATGAGGGAGTCCAACCGGCAACCTTGCTGCTAAGAGCATGCGCTTTCACCATCTCAGCAGCAGTTCAGCTCAGGGGCAGCTTGCTGGCCCATGTGGGAATCAAACTGGTGACCCTGTTGCTCAGAGCTCATGCTCTTAACCAACTGAGCCACTTGGCCAGCCTGATATGAATTGTTTTTGCTTACTTGCTAATAAATGCTTAAATAATAAATGTCTGTACGAGTATGTGGATCAAATTGGGTCTGAGACCTCAAATTTCTCTAGCAGCTGCAGTTATCTAGCAAAATAACTATTTTGACTAAAGTGGCTCTGGCCGTTTTTCTACAAATCATTGATTTGTAAATTTTGAAGTCATAATTCTTAAACTATCTAGTAAACACTTGTGAATTCCCTAAATAACATTGCAGATCTGTAATCAATTGGAGCCAAAAAAGAAAAAAAAAATTGAAAATGCTTTGTGTCTCCAGTGATGGGTAGATTTAAAATAGCTTTCATGATTTATAATAATAACATGTTATCTTGAAATAGTATGATGACCTTTTAAAAATATACTTCATATATGTTGTTAATCCCATTTCCCCACATAATGGTCTCTTGATTCATACAGGGATTGTGCTTTCCTTCTACTTTTACAAATATAAGCTGACGGGTTCAGGACTATCCAGTCATCTCAGCTCTATCAGAGCTAATAATCAGCTCTGAATAGAAGATGTGTTATGAGTCACAAGCCTGTGCTCTATTATTAAACTATGCAATTTGTAGTAATTGAAAATGCTGAAAAACCCAAGAATAAGCTTTTTTTTCTCTTCCATAATTAAATTGTTGCATCCTATTCGTAATACTCTAATACTACAAACATTATGTGAATGTTACTCTTTTGAATCATGAGACTTGTTCAACTTTGCCATCATTTGCCCCTAATCTCTAAATAATGTGACTCTACTTTTTATGACAATGGTTTTTTTGGACTCAGTGTGTATTTTACATCTATTTATTTATATACTTAGCTGTAATTCACTTTTTTACTGTGAAAAATTTCAAGCATAGAAAAAAGTAGTAGTATAATAGCCATCTACCCTTTACCTGGATGTAACAGTTATAAACATTTTTCTGTATTCGCTTCATCTTATTTTTGTAATTTTTGAAGTATTTAAAGGCAAAGAGACATAACTTTTACTTTGAAATACTTCAGTGTATATCTTTCAAAAATATGGACATCTCCTATATAATCATAGTGCCATTATAACTTCTAATAACATTCTTAAAATTCCTTAATATTTCTAATAACTAGTCCTTATACTTAAATTTCCCCATTTGCTCTCAAAATATATTTTAATGCTGGTTTGTCAAACATGAATTCAATCAAGTAACATACTTCACATTTATTTTGAACATCTCTTACGTATCTTTTAATCTAGAACAGTGTCTCCTTCCTACCGTTTCTTCCCCATGACTTTTTTAGACAGGTCCAGTTGTCCTCTGACAGCTTCTTGCTCCCTGACTTTGTTTCCTTTAGCTGTTTCTTTATCTCCAGGTTTTCCTATAGAAGATCCAAAGGCTTGATTATCACTCATATTTTATCATATCAGGTGGCATGGATTGTCTCATCGTTGCCACTACCTAGTGACTGGCAATTAAGGTTGATTTCTGGATTAAATTGGTGACATCTGATTCCTCCATGGTAAAGTTAGTATTATGTATTTGAGATAGGTAAGAACTTTGTGGGGAGATACTTTGGTGCAATGTAAATATCCAGATTCACCTTATCTTTTCACTTAATAAGTTTAGTATCCATTGGTTATTGGGACCTAAATCAATTATCTCAATAAGTGTTGCAAGTTGGTAATTTTCTAATTCTGTTATTTCATCGATATTGTTTTCTAGCTTTCTTCAACCTTTCTCATCAATATTATTTGGTAACCCTGAAATACAGCTTCTACTGGAGAGGCAGGGATAAATGCTTAGTTATTTAATATTAATTACTCATTTTCAGCTTAAGGGTTAGTGGTGATAAATGAGTTGTTGCTGTTATTGGTGGTGATTTTTTTTTCTTTTTCTTTTTTGAGTGTCAGTATTTGTGACTTTAAATTTTTCATGTGTTTCAGTCAATTGCAGTCATTATTCTTTTTGATGTTTAAATTATTGCAAATTTGGCCAGTGGGAGTCCCTGATTGCTATGTAGTTTTGACGTGACCACGTTAGTCTTTAAAAGCTTACTTATTTTCTGGCTTGACATGATGTAGACTTCTTTTCTAAGTCCTGGAACCAGCGTGTCCCCAAAAGAAACTTGTTTTTTAAAAGTGAGTGGTATTTATTTGTTTATTTTTATTTATTTATTTATTTTTCATTTTATTTTATTATTTATTTATTTATTTATTATTAGCTTCATGTGTACAGAACAATACAATAGTTATCTTTTTCACTCCTCACAAAGTAACAACCCCCTTCCCCCATCCTCTGCCCTCCCATCCCTGATGTCATACTTATCTATTACAATCCCATATTTAAAGATGAAATCTGGATAGATATTACATATGCTCACTGGTGCTGGGGTATCATTGCTTCTTGACCTTTTCAGTGAAAAGAGGTGAACAATATAGGTACATAGGTGTGCATGTATTTGTGTTTAAATGACAAGATCATATTGATATTTACATTTCAAAATTTTGTAAACTTTTAATTTCAGAATATTTTTTAATTTACAGAAAATCTGCAAAGACAGTTCAGAATTCTGGTATACCCCTAACCCAGTTTCTCCTATTGTTAATATCTTATATTACTATGGTACATTTGTGATTATTAAACCAATGTTGGTACATTACTATTAACTAGACTACAAACTTTATTTAGATTACACTGATTTTTTTTGTTGTTTTGTTTTTACTAATATCCTTTTAAGATACCACATTACATTTAGTCTTCATGCCTGTTTAGTCTCTTCTGGTTTATAGTTTCTCAGTCCTTTCCTGTTTCTCATAACCTTGACAGTTTTGAGGTTCACTGGTCAGGTATTTTGTAGGCTGTCCCTCGATTTGTTTTTTTATGTTTGTCTCACGATTGGACTGGGGCTGTGGGTTTTTGGGCTGAATATGACAGAGGTGCAGTGCTCTTCTTATCACATATCATGGCTATATACTATCATGTTTTTAAGATTACTCCACTATAAAGTTACTTTTTCCTATTTCCATATGTGAATTCTTTGGAAGCTAGGTAATTAATGCTGCTCACACTTGGGAGAGTGGAGAAATTAAGCTCTACCTTCTGGACCAAGTGCTATTTACATGAACTACTTGGAATTCCTCTGTAAGGAAGAATTGTCTCTTTTTCCCATTTATTTAATCATTTTTTCTACCAGTATTGACTACTATTTATTTCATACCTTTGGTTGTAAGCCAATACTATATTAATTATTTTGTGGCTCAGTTTGTTTCAGCTGTGGCCGTTGGGAGCTATTTCAGTTTGGGTCTTATGGCCCTTTCTTTGACATGCCTCTTTTTTTTTTTTTTTTAGTCATTCTTTCATTCTTTACTTTTTGGTACGATAAAATCCTTCAGACTCATCTTGTGTTTTCTCCTGCCCCAGTCCTAGGATCGGTCATATTTCCTAGGACAATGGTGTCAGGAAACAGTAACTAGGTTCTTGATGTGCTTGTTGCTCTTGGGGGATCAGTGCTTCTAGGCCTTTCTCAGCCAGCAGATCTAGGAAGTAGATGCATGTATCCTAACCTGTGTGTACACTGTATCTATAACTGTTTATGTATCTTTCTGCCTCTATATTAAGCTAAACAGGGTGTTCACGGTCATGTCTCTGACTCTAATCCAGTACATGTCGGTTCATTCTAGCCTTCCCTCTTATTCTTCCTTGGAAATTTTCAACTTTCCAACAGTGAGACACCTGCTCCCACCACCCATCCATACATGTATTTGTTTAAC